GGTTTTGTCTCGCAGACTGACCTTTGGGCACCTAGACGTTCGCGCAGGCACCGGGACCCCGTCCTGACTGGGGTCAGAGGGCACAGGACTGTACCTGACCATCGTGTGCTTCTTCTGCACCATCACTGACCGCTGCTACGTACACATCCAGGCGGCGTCAACAGACCGGACGATGACCACGGCTGACCAGCAAGGGTTGCAACCCAACACAGGGGGGGTTTGAGTCTTCATCTGAAAAGCGAATAAAAGGGAAGAGTATAGGACAAGTTTGTAAGATGTTTCTTACATTCCTAGCCGGGTATCTCCTCTGAACGCTCACACTTCAGCCATTCCAGTTTCACCATCACAATTCCTTACAAAAGTGGTGCAGTTTGTTCGGCGCACTCGCTTTTTAAGCTTTCAGTTTCCGATTAGACAAGACCAACAGGGCAAAAAAACCTCTTCAAACAACCCAAGCTGAAGAGAAAGGCCAGTCAAGGATTACAACCAGGGCCATGCGCATCATTCATAGCCTTTCATGATACCGACTGGGCTAACAGCGGGTTTTAAGTGGAGCTACTTACAGATAAACGTCAATCGCTCGTTCACTCATGTGGGTCAGTGAGAGGCATGAGGTTTCATAGAGCCGGACTAAAGCCAGACAAAGAGTCTCAGATAACGATATTGTGGAGATCACAACTTAAGTCGAATTACTTAACAGTGAGCCAGCACTAAACCACAAGTAACATTAAAAATAAATAGAAGAAACAGAGCAAGCAGACACAATCAAAAGAAACAACATTTCTCCCATCGAGAAGATACAGAAGACACCAAGAGACAAGACATCTAGTTTAAGTATTACGGCGCTTGCAACTGTGCTAGGTCATAAAAGCGCACGGAACACAAGTTGGTTGTTTTCACGTTAATTCATACATCGCTCGACTTAGTTTTACTTTGCATATCGGAATGGTTGAAGTATCTAAAAAGACATAGGGACAAGATAGAAAAGATAACAAAAATAAAAGGTGAACCAAGAGTACGAAAAGAAGTAGAACCTACCAGCGCTGCCATCTAACTACAAGCTACAAGTCGAATGAAACACGAGTAGATTATAAAAGAAAGGCGGTTGGGCGAGGAGGGGAAGGGGGTTGCTACAAAACATTATGTGACCAGAGTCAATAAATGGTTTGGTTGGAGGACAGTCAGGAACTCCGTTAGACTATCAAATATAGAACAAAAAATGACACCTGTGACAATAGCAGCAGTGGTGGTAGAGACATATCATCGCAACCAAGAAGAAAAAGAAGTACAACAGCAACAGCACCAGCAACAACAACAGCAGACGTGGTCACGTCGTTATTAAACCGCCGCATCGTTATCAACCGCTTGAACAGCATGAGTGACACCAAGGTCACTATGACAAACGGCAGCATTATCATGTACAGCCGCAATAACACTATAACAAAAATATTAGTAGCAAGGGCAACAACAGCGGCAACAACAACAACAACAGCAACAAAAACAACACCAGCAACATCAACGTCAATAACAACAACATTTCCAGGCACAAAAACATAACAAATAAAAAAGCAATACTATCAAAATCACCAAAAAACCCATTAAAATCATCACAACCAGCACCACCACAACCACCAGCACCACCAGCAGCAGCAGTAGCAACAGCAGCAGCAGCAGCAACAACAAAGGCAAAATCCAAAAAAGCATCCCACAACCTGGGATAAATCAGACGCCAGGGAAGTCCTGCACCCACCAGAACAGATCAAAAGACAAACGTGTTTTGGTAAGGTGTACCGAGAACCGGATTCCATTTCGATTTGCTCCGATTTCTTTTCAGTTCCTTTCAACACAGATACAATCTATCGCACAGACAAGACAGGGCCCCATTTCTATCTACGAATGTCTTTGAAGACTGACGACGTTCTCCGAGATAAAATCTAGACACGATGCGGACACATAGACCAAGATACTGCCGCCATTACTGA